TACAGAAGACAATGAAAATGTAAGGAGATCATATTTGCAAAATGAAAATAAGACCACATTTCCCATTACGAAGTGAAGTCCTATGAACTGCCCGAGCTGAGCTAAAGGTGCCCCCATGCGTTTAAGTGAGTTTTTACTGTTCTCCCAAGCTTGGCTTAATAGTCCTGAAAGCTGCATTACACATATATTCCTTTCCCCTCCCTCCCCCTGCAAGAAAACCCCTTAAATATTGGAATAAGCTTACAAGCATGCAAGGGAAGAAAACCAAAAAACATGTGGTCTCTTACTCAATAAATTCCCTGACAGGCAGAAAAAATAACTTGTATGGTTTTGAAATGTTGAAGGTATTTCCTTATTTTATTCTTTTGTCCTCTGTTGACACAGATACAGCCTCCTTCTTGTTTATAGAAAATCTGAATGTAGCCTAGTGGTGCTTGTACAGTATTTTAGTGATAAACCTAAAGAGTAACTACGGAAATACAGCTACTCAACAAAAACTCGTTTGCTTTTCTACTTTTTTCCCTCTGTTTATAGATTGTGGTAAGTTACTTTACAACAGCTTTCTGGAAAGATAAATTAACAAGGAGAGTGAATATCAGAGAAATTAAAGTAGTTAATATGGGTATATTACTTTTAGGAATCGGGATGTGCAGAAAGAAATCTAGTAACTGGTCAGCAAAACCCAGCTGTCTCCAAGATACCTCCTCGGGTGTTAAAAACATCTTCACTTGACACTCATCACCCAGGATCTGTTTGGTTTCTGCGTGCTGACATGCCATGCACCATCTGCTGGCTGCGATAGCCGAGTGCAGGGAAGCAGCCAGCAAATTCCCATTTTTGTGACATATTTACCCTGTGAACTGCTTTCAGCCAGCTAACAGAGCCCTGGCAAAGAAAGGGAGCTCAGGCTGCCGCCGCACCTCCCTACGGGCTCCATCCTCCCCAGGCGGCTCTCGTTGCCACCGAGAGAGGGGAAAGCCACACCACTCATGCTCCTCTGGACCTCTGACCTCCCCTTGGGTTACACACAGCTTGAACTTCACAGGTATTTCTTGGTAGATTGAACTCTTTATCAGGCATTTTCTAGACTCTAGTCCTATTTCAGCAGCTTGACCTGAGATAACAGGTAAACTGACAAATGCAAAGGGAAGTAAAAATAAAAACAAACGTACGTGTATTTCTAGATTTCAATATAAGAAAAGGCAGTAACTTCTTTCAATTAACAAGCCATACCTTTTTCTATCTATCAACAAGAAAGCTGGCCACTTAGGAAACAGAATACATGCTGCAAAATGTATTTTCTGAAAAGTGTCTATCTTTTGTTTGTCTTTGGTACACTGCAAGTTTGTGACTTCACTTACTACAGCCAAGGAAGCCCTCAGCTTTTTTTTTTTTTTTTGGCAAGACTGGGGCAGAATGACCATGTATCATTCTTTGCAACACATCCATCGTGTGGCTTTTAGCATTTTAAAGTCAAAATATGATTAGCACCAGAAAATATGTAAATAGCTGAGATGGAAAATGGGCATAATTAAGAAATATGCTTATGAACTAACAGCAATAGTATTTTTTAGATATATGCAATTATTAAGATCTTACTCAGCTGGAAAAGGTTTTTATAATAATCACTTAAATTTGCAAACATTTTATTACAATCAGGCTGCTAGTATAAACTTGTCTACATTATGTCTCCAAATTCCAAAGCCAGAAGAATTAACTTTTCCTGGCAGCACCTTGTTTGCAAGTGTACATATACAACCAGTGAGCTTGGCTGAAGCTGAAGTTACCTGAAGCAATCAACACTGCTGCAGGTCTACACTGGTGGAGCAATTTCTGATGAGAAACATTTTGTTAACTAAAACAATTTTCTGTAGGAATATACGAAAATTATTAAGCTCTGGTTGATAAATGTGTTGGGTTTTTTTTATGTGGAGATGAAATAACTGATCAAAATGAGAAAGAGACGTATTCCAGAACAGCCAGCGGGTCGATTATGAGGATGCTGGCAAGGGGTGAACCAGGTTTTAAACTGTCTGCATTGGTCACTGCAACCTACAGTACAATAAATGGCTGGAAGTCAACCCTCCTAGCAGCTTGGAATTGCTCAATTTTACTCTCCACCAGTTTCAGGCAAAAATTCCTGATGAAAGCAGCACCTCAGAAGAGTAGTTAGTGAACTATCACTTTGCCATGACAGTATTTAGGATGAAAACTCTATTTTGCTTTGACATAATCCAATTATTGTTAAACTTCTTTCTTCCCTTCCCCCTTAATTTTCCCTTCTATCATCTTGTATATATTTTTAAGGACTTGCACACCAAATTATTAGCCAGTGACGAAAGTGTAACTACGTTGTGGAAAGCCCATAGAGGAATCCTTCAGAATCTAAAACTTTGTACTGATGTGCACGAAAAACACATGTAGTTATTTCTTTCTCAACCATAAATTATTTATTGTTCATATGGATAACACTGGGAATATAAATCACAAGTCCTCTCTCAATACTCCTCAATTCTCTTGTCAGCCAATACCTGTGGTACAAGCATGAGGTTTTTTTGCTCAAACATTACAACCTATGGCACTGTTTCTTGCACTGCTCAGTTCACCTCCTTGCATGCTGGCCAAGAAGCAGCTGAGGCACAAGCAAGCTGTAAGAGCTCACTACCATCAGATACATTCTTCCAGAAAGCCCCACACGTCTGTTCGGCACAGCAGGGATTAGAGCTTCCTCCTCTGAAGAAATAATTTCTACATCATGTGACTGAATTTTACAAAATATTTGTGTAAGATTCAGCCCTTCCAAACCTCGCAAAACCCCAGTTCAGAGTATTTTTACCATAGTGAGCATTACACTTCATCTGCCCATAGCAAGTCAATGCCTCATGGGAGTTGTTGTTCAAATGCCACCTGTCTTCATTCCTCACCAGAGGACAAGGTCCTTGCCTGAATCCAGTTCCCAATCTGTTTTGTTCAGAAAATATTGGCTGACTGGAGCTACTGAGAGGTCAGGAATGTCAGTCCCCTGGCAGTAACTGACTGAGGGGAAAATGGTAAAAAGTGCAATTTTTCATGCAGATACTGTATGCGGAAGTATTATGCATTTCAATCTCTTACAGAACTAGACTGCCTTGAATAAGTGTCTTACCATGACACTTTAACAGTTCTGTTTCCAAATTTGACAGCTAATAGAAAGTCAAACCTGTTGTGCAGGTTCTTCCCCAAATTATGAAAAAATAAATATTCAAAGAGAATAAAACAAGAGCATTATTAACTGATTGGTAAGTGGTATATTAAATTCTGAAGTCTTTCACAACGTAATAGTTAAAATCAGTGGTATGGAATGAAATACAAGTTTTGTTGGATTAACTATCCTGTAGTTCATGGTCTATATTTAAAGATAAACTCATAGCGAAAATTCACTGAATTATGAGAAAATATACATAAGATCATGTTAATCTTTTAACTGGAACCAACACTTTCAAAACACTTTCTTAAGCTGAAGTTTCCAATCAGATAATTTAAGAGATACCTACTTATATATCTGTAGATAGTCATAGGTCACCACAAGAAACTAAAGAAAGAGCAAGTGATTACTAGCTGAAAAACCTAGCACAAAACACTCTATCAAAAGCAACATTTGACATGAAGGTCTTATTTGCTTGTCTACTTCTACACTTATTGATAGCTGAGATTGGATCTTTGTCAGAGATCCTGTTTTGCTTATCTTTTCTAACGTGCATATATATATAAAAAAAGTCTGGGGAAAAAAGGGAGATGGAGGGTAAAATTACTCACTTCGACAAGTCTGTCCCAATTTTTCTACAGACAAATACCCATAATGGAGGAGGAAAAGGCACAGACCAAATTTTATGACTTAAGCCTAATCACTGCCATTTAAGTTTTCAGAGTTTCCTTAGAAAATATACAAGCTTAGGTCTGCAATTATTTGGCAGAAATGCCTATGCAGCTTTATTCCTCTCCTTAGCCTCCATTAAGGCAATTGTATCTTTTTGTCTATCTATGGCTCTGAATGGGGACAAAAAGGGCGCAGACCGATTAACTGTGAAAACTTTCTACACTATGTCAAATTGGTTCAGTTTTGAGAGAGGGGTTTAGAGTTTCTGTTCTGTTTTGATGTTAACACAGAAACTGCAATATTTGGAGTTGCATACCTTCAACTTTTTGCTGTAATCCCAAAATAAAAGCTAGTTTATCACCATTCAAATAGCAATACATTGCAAAATTATCCTAATACCCTAACATTTGAGCCAGATACTTCAGATGGTTTGCATAGTTATAAAAGACTGATTCCAAGGCAAATTTACTCACACAGAGGAAGACCATAAGTACTGGCCAAAAAAATAAACCTGAGACCAGAGCATTCATCACAGCAACATGGTGCTGAGGTGATACTTCCAGATGCAGGGAGAGGAGCAGCTTCATGTCTCGTCTCCACCCCTGCAGCTGGAGTGTTCCCCTTGCCCACAGCTCCGCAAGCTCCAGCACTGATCCTGTACCACAGACACTGCACAGGGTGCAGCAGCACATGGGAAGAACCCCCATATAAGGTTTCTCCCTTTTTCATGCATGACACTGCAAACGTAAGAGTTGTTCTGTTCTGCAAACATTTCTAAAAACCCATGAGATATGAACTCTATAGGTCACATTTGTTTCATGTGAAATAATTATGTTATATATTCATACACACTGCTGCAGAAGTTTAGTAAACCCACTGTTTTGAGGTTCTAGAGAGCAAATGCTTCTAAGACAGTATGAATTTCTCTACAAAACCTGTACATTATAAAAATGAACCACTTCTGCCAAAATCATTACATTAAGGAAGGTAAAAGACGAATGACGATTCTAAAACAAAGATCGGGCAACAAAATGGTGAAAAAGTCCATGATATGCTAGGGATATTCTGCATCTATATGCAAAACAGTAATTATTACTAAAGAATACTATTAAATTAATCATAACTCAAAGCAGAAATTAGCTACCTTCAATGTTCTGTGGACCAACCAGATTCATAGCCTGGTGTGCTGGATATTCTACCCGGGGTCTGGCAATGCCCAATTGCTCCATAACGCCATGGAGAAGCCTCTGAATATCTGCTTCAGAAACCCTGTCAGGAGTCCTAGGGCTGTGGCTAAAAGCTGAAGCCAATCCAAATGCCAGCAGAAATACCATGTTACAAAGCACGGCAGGTGTCATTCTGGCAGCTGCTTTTATCCTGTGAAAAAGAAAGGAATTTGATTATAAATGATAGTGGGAAAAAAAGTCTAGTATGCATGCTGGAAATAACTTCTGCTCTTACTACCGCACACCACAGCTTACTACCACAGCTTCTAGGGGCAGCTGAAAATCTAGCCAGCTGAAAACTGGAGGAGGAGCAAGGCTATCAGGGTGGATGGTTCTTCTCTTCTAAAAGAAAATATTAAGTAGCAAACTGCAGAATTAAATTTTCTGATTTGTGTTTGTCTATAGCATTCATTTACAGTCACTGCAAACAAAATGGATCCACTGTTTCATTTAATGAGACTACATGTCCCCTCCCATTTATTCTATTTTATAATGCTCTGGGCTGAAAGCAAAGAACCCTTCATCCTGGAACTGTGTTTTCCAAGCTCTGAAAAATTAATCACTCGAAACTGCTGTACAACCTGGATTATATTTTATTGGTACCTTAAGACAAGAGGCTTTCTGCTTCATATGCATCATCTTCCCCGCCTGAAGCAAATAGGTTTCATTTTTGTCCTTTCACTAAATGGCTGCACAGTGTAGTTTAATTAGGCAAAGGAGAAGAAAAAATATATCAAGCACCACTTACTGTCTTCTTTGAGAGGCTGAATTTTAACCAGAACGCTTGTTTCTTAAAGCTCCACTTCCCCTCGCATCAGAGAATAATTGAAATGCATCACCTCCAATCCCTTGAATAAACAAAAATCCCCGCGGTGCCCCCTACCTTCCTTGAAAAACACCCAGCTACCCGATTTCTGCACGCCAGACGTTTACAGATGTTCCACTGCTCCCGCCGCCCCACGTAAGGCACCTGAAAACGTCTTTGAGACAAAAATGGCTGAAAGAGCCAAGGCTGGAAATATTCCCCGACACGCCGGTGCGCGGCTCCCCTAGAGCAGAGCACAGC